TAGTAAAAAAAAAAAAAAAAAAAAAAAAAACCATAAATTTTTGTCTGATTTCTTGGAGCAATATTGAACAATGAAAAAAAAAAATCAAGCGAAACAATGTAGTTGCTTCAATCGTTCCCCAAACGCCTGAAGATATCAGACATGCCAGTGATAATTCACAGGTAACAATCGTCGGCAATAAACGAACATAATGAGCAAAATATATACCACTTAAACTTACTACACTTCGACACCGAAACAAGTATCATAAATGAGACGCAATGTTCTTGAAAACAACTCGATCAAACAACAGAACATATCAATTGAATGCGAGTATATGAACGAATTAAAAGCTAATGCAACGTCGAGATCCCCAAGAAAGAAAAAAGAAAACAAGTACAAAATGCAGCTAATTTCTGTACCATTGCATCAACTGAATGCTAAAATTCAGCTGAGCTTCAAGAACGATGGAAGAATCTAGAATATTCTTTAGGAGTTGAGCAAAAGACTCACCATCTCGAAAGCCAAGTCCTGAAGTAGACTGAGGGAAAGAGAAACGCGGAGACGGCCTAAGCAATCAGAGGAGTTTTCTGGTCGAAGAATCTGTTATTTATCGGAACCCTAAGGTGACGTGATCAACGGTTGAGATCGTATGATATAGTTGACGTTTTAGGTTGCCGCCACCGCCATGGTGACTATTTTTATTATTATTATTATTATTTTCTTTTTCCGCGAAAATTGATACTCCGTATGAAATGGGCCGGTCCATAAGAGTCAAATGGGTATGGGCTCGGTTATTATTGGGCCGAAAGCCCAAATAAAATAATTTTGTTCCTCGCTCTCTATTATAATTTTTACCCCTATTTGTTTTTTTAAAAAAAATTCGTATAATTAGAACCAAAGAAATCTTTAGAGCAGAGGAGAAAATGGCGCCTGGATGGTCTGTGATGGCGCCCGAGTCCCACCTGTTTCAGAGCTTGAATGGCCTTCAACAGCTAGCCGAGACGCGTCGCTTCAAGGTAATCTGATTAGTATTGCTTCCTCACGATTTGATCGTATTGAATTCTGGTTCTTCCTACTTCATATCTAAACCGAATCAAAAGTTGAATTTCAAAGTTTGTTTCAATTTCATTCCTTTCGATTGAGTTTTTTGACTTAACTTTTACCAGATCGATGAAACTTTCTTAACCGAATGT